GTCCAGGGCTGGGCAGCCACGCCCAAAGCTTAGTGGCTTTTCATATTTTCTGCCGACTCACGGGTGGCCTGGGCTTGGCCAGGTGGCTCTCGGGGATGCGGGATACCTGCTGTCACCAGTGGGGACCTGCTGGGCTGCGGGACCCACCGGCTCACGCACTGGGTGGGCGGCTTCTCTGGGCTCCTTGGCTGCTCCTTCCAGCCTGCTGGCGCACTCTCCTGACACCCGTGGGGTTCCCCTACCTGCTCCCAAGACCCCTGGGGTACTGACCTCCTCTTCCCGGGCGGAGGGGTGGGGTGGTCCTGCAAGCCGTCCCTCCCGGTGCTGCACTCTCGGGGCTTCCGGCGCTGCCTGTGGGCCACCGGGCACAGAGACCTCGACCCCAGGAGGAGGGGAGAACAGCCTGGCCTCTGAGTGGGGAGGACGGACCTGTCGCCACCTCTAGCCTGGCCCTCTGCTTGGCAAGTAACATGCGCAGACTTGCCTCCAAGCAGGAATTTGCTGGCGGTGGGCAGGAACATGAAGGCCTTGCCCCAGCCCTGCTCCCCAGCCTCTGTGACCCTGTGAACCACGCTGTGCCCTTCCGCCCCAACCCTGCCACAGCACGTGTGACCGGCTGGTGCCCCGGGACCAGGGGAGGTGGACCATGCGCCCAGGAGGCCCAGGCTTCTCAGACCCACATGATGCACGAGGGCCAAGCCCGCAGGACCCCCACTCTCCGCCCAGCTGACAGGAGGGGCTCTGAGGGACGGCTCACAGGCCGCCTGGGATGGCCTTCCACCTGCCTCTGGCCCCTGCTGGGCCTGAGCCTGCTTCTTCCTGGGGCCAGCAAGTGTCCACACCTGCAGGCTAATGTCTGCTTAGCTGTCCTCCCTTGGCTTCTGCTCTCCTCGCCCAGGTGGCCACCACTGCGCTCACCATCCATGCTGGCACTCACCATCCATGCTGGCACTCCAGGGCCCAGAGGCGCAGTGCAGAGCAGGGCAGCCAGGACCTCCTCCTCCAGGCTTTGGGCACAGCCCAGTGCCCAGGCAGCAGCCCCGCCTCCACGGGAGCAGAGCCCGGCCTCGGCTTCTGTGACGCGCTGGTGCCTGGTCTCCCCGGAGCCCTGGGTGGCGTTCATGGCTCCATGCCCACCTGGGAGAGGCAGCAGCAAAGCCCGCCTGCTCCTGTCTACAGGCTACTCTGCTAGCGGCAGACAGACTGTCCGTGACGGCGAGGAGGCCGCGCTGGACGCCAGAGTGAGCTGGGATCAAAGCGACGAATGCGTTGGGGGTCTGGGGGACAGGGCAGAACTTTCAGGAGGGAGGCTGCAGGCCTGTCCTCTTCTGCTTTCTTCACACTGTACCCTACGCCCAGACGCCCCAGCAGGCCTTCCTCCTGAGCCCACGGTGCGCCACTCCCCACTGCCCAGGGGAGTCCCTCCCCAAAGGCCACCTTCTCAGAGTGTCCCTGTCTGAAAGTTTAGCTCCCCCCATGCATCCTTCACAGCGCCCAGCCTGGCATCCCCCAAGGCACTGGGGCACTGTCATCCAGGGTGGGGAGGTCCCGCAAGGGCGCCTCGCCACCGGATTCTCGGAGCCCAGCCCTGTGTGCACATGCAGGCCTGACTCATGCACAGGAAGCTGCTCTCCAGCCGTTAATCCCTGGGGGAAGGAGGGATGCCCGGATTACTGTCCTGCTTCTGCAGGCCAAGAGGCCTTGGCTGAGAAGGGAAGGCTTGGGGGACAGATGTCAGGGACCTGACATTGCCACCTCCCCACGCCCCACCTGCCTTCCCAAAGCTCCAGGGGACTGTGAGCACAGACAGGTGTGGGGTCGCTGCCCCACCTAATCTCCAGGTCTGTGGGGTCGAGGCTGGCCCCTGCCCCACTCCATTTCAAGAATTGCTGCAGCGTTTCCAGGTTGGGGGCGGGTACAGAGAGCCCAGTACCCCACTCTCCTGACACCCATGGGGCCCCTCTACCCGCTCCCATCCCCAAACCAAGACCAGGCTCCCTGGGGTGCGCGCCTCATCTGTGCCCAGGAAGACAGCCCAAGGGCTCGCTCTTTCGCTTTTACTATAAGCCTTTGCCCTTGGGGAAAATTTCAAACTAATACAACAGTAGAGAGAAGGCAACGCCTCCCTCACCACCACTCCAGCGCCACTTAACCCCCTGCTCCATCTCTCCCCTCCACCTGCCACTTTTTGTTTCCCTGCAGCTTTTATTTTTATTTATTTGTTTTTTTAAGAATTATTTATGTATACAGGAACTGGGGTGCAGGCCAGAGGTGCAGGGGATGAGAGGACTCACCAGAGACAGAGCGGGGAGCAGAACAGACAGAATGACTGAAAGCCCCTGCTGAGGGGAGCAGCGGGGAGACAGGAGAGGTCTGCTGTGCCGTGTGGGTAGCTCCCTGGCGGGGAATTGAACTTGTGCTGCAGAGGCTGCAGATAGCGTGGCAGTGCTGAGACTTTAACCCCTGCGCCACCAGGGAGATCCCTCGTGGGGTCTTTTAAAGCCGACCTAGTGCTCATGAGAATCCCCTCAACACTGCTCGGGCTCGGCCTCCCTCCTCACTCGGCTCAAGCCCTCCACCGCTCTCCACCTCGGGTGCCACGACCAACGTCATCTGGACTGGGGGTGCTGCTTGTGGCTGTTGCCTCAAATCTCCTTTCTCGTGGGTTTATTTGAATCCAGACCTCAGAGGTGCCCCTGCTGTCTTCGGCTGACTTGTCTCTGGGCTCGAGTGGGCCCTGCCCCCGGGTCTGAGGCTCTCCCAGGTAGCAGCAGATGAGCATCCCCTGGGAGCTTTTACAAAACACCCAAACCTGGGCCCTACCTGGACCAATTAGGCCAGAATCCCTTGGGGGAGGCCTGGGCCAGGTGTTTGCCTGATTCCTTTTTACTTATTTATTTGTTAATCTCCCAGGTGATCCTGGCATGCTGGTAGGGCCGGGAACCTCTGGAATGTACTCAGGGGTTCCTGGTCTGCCCAAGTGACGTGCCCCACTCCCCCCAGACTACTGGCGATGTCTGGAGGCGTTTGGGTTGTCACAGCGTGGGGAGGGGGTGCCGTGCTGGCACGAAGTAGGTGGAGGACAGGGACACTGCTCACCATCCTGCAGGCCCCAGGACGGGCCGCCAGGCAAAATCATCTGCCCCCAAAAGTCAAAATGCCACCAGGGAGAAATTCTGACACTGAAGCCCACAGCTCTCCAGGGGCACGGCCTCTCGGGGAGAAGGCAAATTAAACTGGATTCCGTCTGTGCCTCATTCTCAAGCCCAGAGCTGGAAGACGTATCCTCGTTCTTGGTTCTCATTAGTGCTGCATGCCCTGTCCCAGTGCACATGCAGGCGGGGCCCGGGGGGCATGGGCACGGGTCAGAGTGCACCACCCACGGCTGCATGGCCTGCGGGTCTCACCGGGACTCTGCTTGGCTCTGGCCGGTGGCAGAGGCCATGCTCACACCAGATGCCGCACTCAGGAGCCCCAAGTGAGGTCTGAAATGAATGATCCCCCATTTCTCCTAGCGGGAACAGGGCCCAGAGGCAGGTGGATGTCATGGCCAGCGTCGGACACTGGCTTCTCCATCACCAGAGAGCAGCACTGGCTGCTCCAGGCTGCTCTGTCTCTTCCGGAGCAAGGATGTGGGTGGCCATGCCCACCCTGCCCAGGCCTCTGTCACCACCATCAGGTAAGGTGATTGGAGGCAGTCCCATCTGAGGTCCCCCAGGGACAAAGACACAGGACCCTGACAGCCCATCCCCCGCCAGGGGTGCTGGTGGAGGCTGGGGACGGTACCTCCTGTCTCTAACCCTGCCCCTCTGTCCCACGCGGGGGACGTGGTTTCTGCCAGTCCCTCTGGAATGGATAAGGTCAGGGGAACCAAAACACTGTGCCGCCTTTAGGGCTACCCTAGAGAGGACAAGCGGGGTGCAGCTCAACTCTCCTGCACTTGCCAAAGGAATGTCACTGGCCTGCTCTGTGACTCAGTTTCCCCCTCCACGCCCAGGTGTACATCCAGGGCAGGGTGTGGAGACCCTGGGCTGGCGGAGCCAGTGTGACAGGCTGTGGCAGTGGCAGGAGAAGCAGGTGGGAGGGGATGGCTTTGTCCCTGGGCCAGCTGGGCCAGTGCCTGCAGAGGGCTGGGGCTGGGGGGCCTCCTGAGGAGCCGTCTGGATGAAAGGCCTCTGCACCCACATGTGGGGAACCGGGAGTGACTCCCTGCTGGGAGTCCCAGAAACCCAAGGCCGCCTGGCCTAGCAGAAGGCAAGCCTTAACTCTCCGTCGTGGGCGCCCTCCGCAGAGTGGGGTGCACGAGCAAATGCAGAGTCCAAGAGTCAGTCGCTACCCGCTGGCCCCGGGCAGGCAGCACCCCGATCACCAGGGGCCGGGGTCACCCGGGGCCGCGATCTCAGGGGGCGGGGGTCACCAGGGCCCGCCCAGCCTCGGGGACAGGCCGGAGCGGGCGTTTGCACGGCTCGCGGGTCCCCTGGGGCAGCGCAGGGCCGGACCGGGGACGCGAGGCGGGGGCGCCCTCGCCCGCTCGCAGCCGGGCGCCGGGGTCGCCCCAGCACGGCCCCCTGGAGAGGGGCGACCCGCCGCGCCGACTCCGGGGAGGGGCGCCTGGCGACGCGCCCCCGGGGCGGGAGCTGAAACTTTGCCGGCCGCGCGGGGCCGAGAGGAAGCCGGGGCGGCGGGGAAGTCCGGGAGGCCGCGGCGGGCGCCGGGCGCGCCCCTGGCACGGTCCCCGGGGAGGCGCGGGCGGCCCGCCCCGCCCCCGCGCCCGGCCGAGCCCTCCCGGCGCCCGCGGGCGGGGCGGGGCCGCGGCGGCGCCGCCCCAGGGCCCGGGGAGGGGGCGCGGGAGGCGCGGCGGCCCGGAGCGCGGCCGGGGCGGAGCGGCCCCGCGCACTGCCCGGCCGGGCCATGACCCCCGCCGCTCCCGCTCGCAGGCTCGTCGCCGCGGCCCGCCGCCCCCGGTCCCCGCGGCCACCGGCGCCCGCGCGGGCCCCGCAGTGAGCGCAGCGCGGTGAGTGAGTGCCCCCCGCGCCCCGGCCCGCGCCCCGCGCCCCGCGCCGCGCCCCCCTCCCTGCCCTCCCCTCCCCTCCCCTCCCCTCCCGGGGAGCCGCCCGCCCCGCGCCCCGCCCGCCCCGCCGGCCCCGCGCCCGCCCGCCCCGCACCCCGCGCGCCCCGCCGGCCCCGCACCCCGCGCGCCCCGCACCTGGGCGGCTCCCGCGCATGGGCGGCTCCCGCGGCCCGCAGGTCCCGGGCGGGGCGGGGGCCTCGCGGACGGGGCGCCCCCAACTTCTCGCAGACTTTTCCGCGGGGACGAGGGCTCGGGAAAGGTGTGTCCCCGCGTGGCCCCGGCCCCCCGCGCGCTCCGTGGGAACCGAGCGCCGCGCGGAGGGAGAGGAGCGGCGCAGGCGGGCGGGCGGCGGGCCTGGGGGGCCGCCCCCCGCCCCCCCAGCTCCTCGGCGTGTGTTATTCATGAGCCGCGCGCTCGGGGCCGCGCCCCGGCATCAAAGCAGCTCGACCGCAGAGGGCGGCCGGCGCGATCGCACCCCGCGGGGCCGGCGGAACCCGGGGCCGGCGGGGGCGGGGGCGGGGCCTGCTCTCTGGGGGCGCCGCCTGCTCTCTGGGGGCGCCGGGCCCTGAGGCCCAGGGGCTGTGCGCGCGGCCGGCCGGGCACCAGCGAAGGGCAGCCTTGGTGGGAGACACCCACCTCGGAGGGGTGAGGCCCGGGGTTTCCTGCCCGCGCCCTGTGCCCCTCTGGGTTAACCCCGGCCAGCACCCCTCACCTGCCAGGCCACACCCTCCCTGGGCTGTGTCCCCTGCCCCGGGGTCTCCCTCCTCTGCCTGGGCGGGAGGAGGTGGTGTATTTATGGAAAGGCTTAATCCCTCCAGCGCCCCAAGGAGGCTGAGAGCTGCACCCGCTAATCCCCCCTCGCTGGAAGGCCTTCCTGGGCTGGCGGGGTGGCACGGCGGGCATCCGGGTTAGCTCACCCTTGAGACTTGCGGTGGGACTTCCCTCCTCTGACAGCAGAGCCAGCCCGCTCTTGACTGAGCGCCTCTGGACCAGCGGCCCCAGGCCCAGCCCCTTCCTTTTCTGCTCTCAGCAAATGGTTCTGGCAGTGCCCCCCGTTTTACAGATAAGAACACAGAGGCCTAGGAAAGCAAAGTGACTGGCCCGAGACAGGGAGCTGGTCAGTGACCAGCCAGGCCTGAGCCTTAAGCCCTTACCATACGTGCTCTTGAATCCCATGCAAGGCTGCCCAGACACCTGCCACCTCCAAATGCAGCCCCTGCCCCACCAAAAAGACTGTTCAGGGCCTCTCTGGTGGCGCAGGGCTTGAGTCTCAGCACTGTGAAGCTGTCCGCAGCCACAGCAGCCTGAGTTCAGTCTCCAGCCAGGGAGCTACCCACATGGCGCAGCAGACCTCTCCTGTCTCCCCGCTGCTCCCCTCAGCAGTGTGTTTCAGTCAGTCTGCCTGTTCTGCTCCCCCCTCTGTCTCTGGGGAGTCCTCTCAGCCCCCACACCTCTAGCCTGCACCCCAGCTCTTGTATGCATAAATAAATAAATCTTTTAAAAAAATAAAAAGCCCATTAAGGCGTAAGCTACAGTAATAGTCCGCAGCAAGTGTCCACCCACATCAAGAAACAGACCTCCCCCAGGCCTCGCTGGGCCCGGCAGCCACGGTGCCCGCGAGCCAGCAAGCGACCTGTGTCTGTCTGACAGCCAGTGCCACGGTGGAGTGACTGTCTCCTGGGTCTCTTTCCCCTGGCCTTGCACCCCTGCAGAGGGTCCGTGGGCTGGGCCTCGCCGGGCTGGGCTGGCCGGGCCAGCTTCCCAGGCCGGCTGTGGCTGAGCTGCCCCGCCTTGACTCCTCAGGGCGTGCCTCTGTTTTTAAATCCGCTTCTGTAGCTACTTCACAGGTGGAAAGGTGACCCAAGTGTCACAGGTGTCGAGCTTGGTCACACCGGCGTGGGAGGGGGCGTGGGCAGTCCCTGGGAGGCCAAGGCCGGACCCTGGCTGCCCTCACAGAGAACCATGGGATTTCAGTGGGCGCGCCCGCCCCTCTTTCACTTCTTGTTGGCGAGGCTGCGAACCGGGCAGCTGCCCCTCCCAGAGGCTCCTGTGGCCCAGAAGGCAGACGCTGCTGGAGCCTCGGTGCCGCCATGGAGGCGTGTCGATGCTCAGAGCCTCCATTCCAGCACAGTCCCTCTGGCTGGAATTGCAGGAATTCTAATCCTGTTGCACAAAGTGCCTTTTCTAAAGAAGGAAGAAAAGCAAGATGTGCCGGGGGCCTGCTGGGACCGGTATGTCCCTGCCTGGGTTGCAGGACAGGGAGTAGGGAACCAGGCCGACTCCTCCCCCAGCCGGTGTGGAGCCGGACTCGGCCCCGTCCTGCGGGTCCATCCACCTGGGCAGACCCGCACATTCCTCCGCTCTGATTCTGCCCCTGCCCCCCTCGGGCCTTAAGGGAGGTCTTTGTTAGCAGGCGAACCCAGGCCAGCGCCCGGCAATCACACCCTCCGAGGGCCACCCTGACTTCATCTAGGTGGCCCTGCCTCTCCCTCTGCCCCTCCCTGGCCTGCTGTGGGCACCCAGGTGTCAGATGGAGAACACCTCTGCGTGGGGTTGCCAGATCTCCCAAGAGAAATGTTAGACGCCCGTTCAGCGTGAAGTCCAGAGAGATGATATAGTGCTTTTCGTGTCCAACTCATGCCTCCAGTGGCTGTCCTGTGTTTGCTCTGGCGACCCTCTCCATGGCCACTTCCAGCTCTCGGTCTGCCTGCCTCACTCCGGCGAGCTCCCTCAGCCCCCTGTCGCCCCCACGAGGGTCCCAGCTGAAAGGGGCCGCCGAGCTCTAGAGTCAGCGGCCGGCCGTGGCCTGTGTCTCCCAGAGGCGCTAGTTTAGTTTTCTCCTTCATGCACACTGGAGCGGGGGCTGGTCAGTGGCTCCTGTCCTGAGGCCCCTGGACACGTGCTGACACTGCCCACCTCGGCCCACTGATGGGCTTTTATCACTGTCAGGCCACGTCTGTCACCGGACAGGGCCTGTCGTGGCCACTGGGCAGTCCCAGGGTTTGGATGCCCGGGTGCAAGAAAGAACCTGCTCTGCTTCAGGCTGTGGTGCAGATAGTTAACAGTCTGATCTGTGGAAGGGACCCGAGCAGAATTTGATTCAGTGTTGAGGGGGCGGGGGGCGCACACGCCTGCAAACGTGTGAAGGAGAGGTTTCTCCCACACTAGCACGTCGTCCTGCCCACCACATGCTGCTTTTTAACCACAAAATTGTGTGCCTTGCATGTCACAGTGCAAAGTGATAGTCCCAGGGCTTTGGGGTTCGGCCCCCAGGGCCGCTGGGCCCCCGTGACTTCCATCCCCTCACCTGCATGACGGAGGAAGCAGCGGTGTCTAACGCTTCCTTCCGGTATTGTCAGGGTTCAGTGGAGTTATTTTCATAATAAACTTGGCCCAAGACTCAGCCCTTTGGAAACCGGCGTCTGTCAGCTGAGGATGTGGAAGTTTAGGGGAAACCGCCTGCTCCCCACGGCTGGGCGTCTGCCTGGCAGACACAGAGTCAGCTTTAACTCCTCTCCAGATAGCTCACCCTCGGTGGGGGGCGGCTCTCCAGGAAGCCTCTGCCCACACTTCCTAGGCAGTCACCCCCAAAGGCTTCCACCCCAGCGTGTTGCGGGGTGCCCGGGGCCCCAGCAATGCTGTGGGCAGCAGTGCCAGTAGTGGGGGTGTCGCTGTGACTGGGCATGGGCACTGAGCCTGGGCAGAGCTGGGTACCTCCCGCCCTGACACGCCCAAGGTCACACAGCTCCCCTGGCCCCTCTGTGCCCGCTGACCTTGGGGAGGTCCGGGGTGGGGCTGCGCCCCGGATCAGAGCCGTCCCTTTGTGGAAACCCCGCACGTGGGATTTGGAGAAGACTGACCCAGACCCACTCCACAGGCCCGATCTCGGACAACCTACCGGGGTCCCCTGAATCCAGGCTGCGCCCCTCCTGCCTCCTCATCATTGTTTTCCTCTTGCACCTTCCCCCCTTCGTTCCCGCCCCCTTGAGGTTTCCCCCACTCCCTCCTTCCTTCCCTGCGTGCTGTGAGATTTGCAGTTAGGAGACAGCTCCAGGGACAGAGTCGTGCGTTCCGGAAGGCTCTCCATGGCAGTGCCCGCACCCACCTCCAGCCACGTCAGAGGAGTTTCTGGGAACACAGGCTCTGGTGCGTACCAGCACCTCTGGGCGCCACGGCCAGGGGCATGAGCTCGGAGCACTGTGCCAGCCTCTGACGCCCCCGAAAGGCATCTGACTCACAGAGGGGCGCAGGAACACCCATGTCCTGGGCAGCCTCCCAGGTGGACAGGGCTCCCCGCCGCTCCACACCGTCTCGCATGTGGGCTCTGGCTCTAGCCTGCTCTGTGACGCTCGACCCCGCCCACGCACGGCCAGAGCAGCGGCGCGGCAGGCCCGATCCCTGGTCCCACACTCGCCACCTGCTCTTTCTGTTGATCACTTTTCAAACAAAAAATCTGGAAGGGCTCCCCTCCCGGCTCAGCCACACCCCCTGGGCCCCGCAGCACTGGCCTGCTTTCACTGGCCTATTCACAGGCATTGCTGACGCTCATGGGGAGGCTGTTTAGACCCTGGGGTGTGTCATAAAATCTGCATGGTGGGCGCGGCCAGCACTGGACCAAGACCCACTGAGAAAACAGTCTGCCAGCCAGCAGTCTTTTTTTTTCCCCCCCCAAAGATTTATTAATGCACACAAGAGCTGGGGTGCAGACCAAGAAGAGGACTCACCAGAGACAGAGTGGGGAGCAGAACAGGCAGACTGACTGAAACACACTGCTGAGGGGAGCAGCGGGCGAGACTGGAGAGGTCTGCTGTGCTTTGTGGTTTCAGCTCTGTGGCCAGGGATCGAACTCGTGCTGCAGAGGCTGCAGATAGCTTCATAGTGCTGTGTCCTACCTCCTTGCGCCACCAGGAAGGCCCCGGCTGTCTGTCTTTCTGACGGTGCCATGGGTCTGTGGTTTATTTCTGATGATCCGACCTCAGGGCTCCCTGCATCACCCTGCTGGGGAGGCCAGGGCCCTCCCCAGACATCCTGGTGCAAAGGGGCGAGCCCAGCATCCCTCCCCTTTCCCAGAAGGGCCTGCAGAGTCTCGGGCCCCTGCGGGTAGAAGGGGATCCCCAGTTGAAATTCCAGCTCTGCTCCTCCTAGTACGCCCGAGCCTCCACGTCCGCTCTGTGAAGCGGCCTGGCCGAGGACTGTGAGTCGGGGCTCCCTGGTGTCAGCCCCTTCTGCTGCTGCCTCTACGTCCCCATCAGCTACTCGAGGTTAAGGACGCACCGTGGCAGGGAGGTGGTGGGGACCACAGGCTCCCAGGGGCTGGGAGCTTGACCTGTTCACTCTCTGTTCACTCTTGGAGCTCGACCTGTTCACTCTCCAGCGATCCGCCTTTTTCAAAAGACCAGCACCAGCGCCCACCGCGAGGGCTCAGGGTCAGGGCAGACGCGGCATCTGCGGCACTGCAGGGAAGGGCGCTCTTGGGTCCCGGCTCGGGCTGGCCACACCCTCTGCTCCAGCCGCGCGCGGCCGCTGTGCTGCGCCTCCAGTATATTTAGCTCAAAGTTTCCCACCAGCACAGATGCATCTCTAGCAAACTCAGCCCAGATGTAGAGGCAGGCGCTGGCCCGGGTTGCTCTCGCCACTGCTTCCTGTTGTGCACCGGGCGGGCGGGGGCCTGGCCGCACGTGGCCAATACCAAACAAGCTCTCCTCTCTCTGCAGGCCGCAGGAGGCGCCGACATGGGGCTGAAGCCGTCCTGCCTGAAAGGTAAGGCGGGCGCCCTCCTCGCCCGCTCTCGGGGGTGAGTCTGGGCGGGCATGGATAGAGTGGGAGGGCTGACCTGGAGGCACCGGTGCTGCTGCTGGCGCTGGGGCACCCGTGGAAGCCGCACTGCATGCAGTAGGCGCCTCCTCAATGCCTGCTCTGACAGCTCCGCCGGGCCTTCTCTAACTGGGGGCGAGTGACATGGGAAAGTTGCAGCACCCCAGGCTCGGTTTCCCCCTCAGCGGGGGACTGACTCCCCCCTGGTCCCAGGCTGTGGGGTGTGAGGAATCCAGAGGCCGGACCGAGGTGCCAGGCACCGCCGGGGTGTTTACTCTCCCCTCTGCACCTGTTATCACCGAGATAGGAGGTCCGGCCTGCGGGTGCTGGGGACGCGGGCCGGGAGAGCGCAAACTGGCAGGGAGAAAGCTCCAGAAGGACACAGTCTCACTGGGGGGTGTTGTGCGTGTTGGCAGCGGTCACCCAGACCTTGATCTGTGACCCCATCCTTTCTGAGCAGCGCCTCGTGAGCCGGGGACACCTCAGCCCGACACGGCCCAGAGCCTGCTCCGCAGGGTCTCGGCTGACTCTGGGAGCACGCCAGCTAGCCCTGCCTTCCTGCGGTCTCGGGCCTGTGCCCAGCTCCGCGCCGTGCCCCGGAAGTCAGGAGGTCAGGGTCCAAAGACCAGCCCTTGGGTCCCCCTGTGACCAGCAAGCCCAGGAACTCAGTGGGTGGCCTGGCCTAGGTTTATGGCCCTCCTGGGGGCCGGGCGTCTCCATGGGCATCTCCTCCAAGACTGCCATCCCGTGGGTAGCATGTTTGTCCTGGTGCGTCGGAGCGTCTCGCAGAGGGGGACGGTAATGCTAAACCACGTCCCCTCTGAGTCCCTCTGAGCCCTCCCATGAGGGGTAAAAGGCAGGGGGTGTCGAGCCAGTGTCACAGAGCCTGGGGGTCCAGCGGTCGGGTCCAGACACCCAGCGCCGGCAACCCAAGGCCCTCTTCCTTTTCTGCTGCCCCTTTCCCGATGGCAGCAAACACGTGGCACAGCATTTACCACCTGAGTCACATCTGCGTGTCCAGCTCCGTGGCATTAAGTCCACCCCCCGCCATCAGCTCCACACTTTTGTCATCATCCCAACTAAAACTGTCCCCGTCACTCAGAGATTCCCCAGCCCCCACCAGCTACTCTGAATGATTTCCGCCGCTTGGTGCCTCATGGGAGCAGAATCCTCCAGTGTTTGTATTTTTGTGGGACTGATTTCGCTCAGTGTGATGCCCTCCAGGCCCGTCCGTGTTGCGCAGGTGTCAGGATGTGTTCCTTTTTGATGGCTGTGTGATATTCCGTGCGTGTCTCCACCCCTGTGCCCTATCCATTCCTCCCTCAGTGGACACTAGGACTGTTCCACTCTGGGCTGTTTTGGGGGACATCTGTCCTGTGCCTGGAGGCCCCCTGGAGGGATCACTGGAGCTTCAACTAGGGGAGGAGACACAAGCTGCAGCTCTGGAGAGTCTCCAGGAGACAGGCCTCCACCCTGCCCCACCCCCTCTCCCCGGCCCCTGCAGGACTGAGAGCAGCTGAGTGCTCCCGGGCCTGGGAGACTGTGAAAGGCATCTCCAGGCCCGGGAGGGGCTAAGTGCTGGACCGGAGCCTGCGCGAGCCAGGTTTGCTCATACATTTTTCATCGCTTCCTCTCTGGAGCTGGCCCGGGCAGCCAGCCCACTGCCCACCCCCGCCCCACCCAGCTGGGTCTCTGGAGGTGACTGGGCCCACAAGGCTCGGGTGTACCTCCGGCACAGGTGAGGTGGGGGAAGGAGCACCCCTCTCTGTGCTAAACCAGGCCAGAGCCAGGCCCGCCTCCTCTGCAGAGGGGGCTTCTCACCTTCCCCAGGCTTCATCACATCCTGGGAGGCCGCGCGCGGGGGCTGGCCCCTGACCGCCCAGGGCTTCCCCCCCGGCGCCGGCCCCATGCTGCCAGGCAAGCTTCCCCTGGTGGCTGGTCCATGGGCTCCTTGGTTTCAGTTTCCAGCCACTGCTGGGCGTGAGGGATGGGTTTCCCCGCCAGCGTTATTTTTACCATTCTCACTGCCCATCCGCTTCTGCCCAGAAGCTCTGGGTTGTGCCTCACTTGTTGCTTTTGTAGCTAGGGCCTCTTTGAACGTCTTTGCTTCCTGGTTTTTCCAATTACAACTTCTTTGGGGTGAATTCCAGACATCAGATCAGAATGACCAGCTCAAATAACTGCCTCCGCAGTCCATTCTTATGGGGGCTTGGGCGGCCGGGCTCCGCCCCGTACCTGTCCGGGGTCACCAGCCAGCCCTCCTCCCGCTGACCGGCTGCCAGCAGCGTCCCCAGGTCCTCGACGAGGAAGCTGTGCACAGAGCAGCCTCACGCTTTGCAGGTGCCCCGCAGCTGGACCTGCAGCGTGTGTGCTCAGGCTGGTTGGCCCCGCCGTGGGCTCTTCCAGGGTGAACATTTTAATTCGAGGCAGCTGCTGTAGGCAGGACCCGCACGCACCACGGCAGGGTCCGTCAAGCCTCCTCACTAACCCTCCAAGACAGTGCCTCAGTGTCCAGCCGGCGCGACGTTGACCCCACCCAATACAAGTCCCTTCCCCACAGTCCAGAGGCCCGAGTCTGAGGCCCAGGAGTCCCCACGCCAGGCCCCCTCGAAGGTGTAGGGGAGGGTCCTCCCTCCCCATCCCGGCTCCCGGGGCCCTAAGGCCACCGCCTCCATGGCCTCCATGGCCTCTCCCTGCGCCAGCCTTTGCCCTCGGGGCTGCTTTCTGGCCAGGCTGACCTCACCACAAGCCCTTGGCTGGTGACTCTACAAAGTCCTCACTTCCAAGTAAGGTTGCGATCCGAGGCTCGAGGTGGCTGTGAATTGTGGGGCACTGCAGCCAGTACAAGTCCCATCACCCTTTTGCGGCATGGGGTGAGGTGGGAACACCCTGTCCCCAGTCCCTCTGTTCCCTGAGCCGTCAGTGTGGGCACCAAGCGGGGCCCCCCCACTGGCCAAGGGGCACCTCCGAGCACTGGGAGCCGTGCTCCCTCACTGCTGCCTTGTCCTCCCTGCAGCTGGATGATGGAGGGAACCGTGCCGACGGGAGGCAAGGCTCCAGCGGGCGCATGCTTGGCTCGGCTGGTAGCGGGAAGGCTGCGTGGTCTCCCTCACCAGTGGCGGGCAGCCCTGCCCAGGAAGCCGCGTGGCTGACCCGTGGGTGGGAGCCTTGTTATGGCCTGGGGGCCAAGCCGGGCCTGTGAGCTCTTGGGACCGCCCGAACCCACTGAGAACTTTGGGGCTCTGGCAGCCGTGCTGGGGGGCTCCGGGGCCTGCCCACAGCTGAGAACATGGTGGAGTGGCTCTGGGGTCAGAGCGCAGCACACCTGGGCTGGCTCCTCCCTTCTCGGCGCAGCCTGTGCACCTCACTTCCCGCGGCCAAGCTGTTTCCCTGTCCGCAAACCAGTGATGCGTGGGCGCCTCTCTGGCTGGACCTGGTGCCCAGCGTCCCTCCCAGCCTCCTCGGGAGGGTGTGGTCTCTAGGCCTCTCTGGAGGGGACCAGCGCAGTCCCAGCCCGCATCGGCGTCGCCGTGGAGACGGGCTCTTGCCCGCCAGGCGGGAGGAGACCAGGCGTGGACACCTGCCCTGCCTCGCTGGTCTGCGTATTTGGGGAAGAGATTTAGGATTCCAGAAAAAGTGGGAGGTTCCCATATTCGCTGTAGTGAATGCCTCCAAGACCAGAGCGGTCCGCTCCGTCCAGCTCACCAGCCGGCGCCATCTCTGCTCCCAGCCGAGCCACGCTGCATCTGGGCTTGGTGCGTCCCCCGTGTTCCTCTTTGTCCCTGTACCGCCAGCGCCCCTCGCATCTGCCCTCACATCCCCTTAGGCTCTGCTTGGCTGAGTGGGGTCCTGAAGGCGCCGGCCGACCCCTGCAAGGACGGCTCTGGGGTTCTGTGCAGGGCTTCTCGCGGCGGAGCGGGCTGGCACTGCTGGGTTCCGTCGTCTCTTTTGCCGAGTGCGTGATGGTGGGTCATGGGAGGACACGTGCCCCGCCCTCTCGGCTGTGCCAGAGGAGAGGGTGAGCCGTAAGGGCCCGTCTGCACAAGCTGACTTTGGAACCAACCATGAGATGCAGGGAACAGTGTTCCAGGCAAAGGGAACAGCAGGGGCGAAGGCCTTGAGGCAGGTGCAGGTGTGGTGAGCTGTCAAGCAGCGAGTGTGGTGGCCGTGGGGGCCTGGGCACAGGCATCGAGGCCGCAGGGCAGGCAGGGCCATGGGAGCAGAGGAGTAGCAGGGGCCTCTAGACCAGGGGCCTCCCCCCTGCACATCACAGTCCCAGGCCTTCAAAAGGCTGTAGCCCTGCCCGGCCAGCCTGCTTGGGTTTCGATGGGTCTGGGCGCAGGGGTGTCCGTGAGGCTCCCCAGGTCGTTCGCCAGGTAAAAACTGCTGTCCCCTCCACGTCTTGCTTTTCAGACGCAGTGGAGACTGACTGCCCCAGTGACACCAGGCAGGCTAGCGTGGCTGGGAGCCCAGGAGGGCCGGGAGAGCCCCAGCCTGCTCCCAGGAGGGGCGGCAATCCGCCTGTTGGAACAGCTGAAGCAGATGGCTTTCTCTGCCCCCCTCCCAGCACCCCTGGCCCTGGGGGGTGACCTGCTGGGCTCCCAGCAGGGATCAGCCCCTCATGCTTAGGCTAAACCTCCGGCGCCTGCTGTCCCCCGGAAGGAGCGGGAGGCCAGCGGGGGAGGAGGCTCAGGCGGGTGGGCCTCCCTGGCTGCTGTGCTGGCGTCGGGTTGGTGCCCAGGCTGCCGCTCCTGGTGGCGTCTCCTCCTCCTCTCCAGGTCCCACAGGGTCAGCACGCACAGCTGCCCCCCCACCCCTGCAGCCCGGTGCCTGCCCCCGGTCAGCAGCAGGAGCGACAGTGTGTCTGTAGAGCCAGTGCTCTCCACTCCAGCCGGGGAGAGCCTCCCTGGCCCGTCGGCCCGGGCGGGAGGCCAGTGCTCCAGAGC